TCTTCCATAGGTTTGCCTTAGGAATGCAGTTTAAACTGCACAAGGCCACAAATATCCCAAACTATGCTTTGAAGTCAGAACAATTTTCCTTCTTCCACTTGCGTTATGGTGATATATGTTTTCAGCCTTATTGTGCCTGCATTTCTGTTCATGCAGAAGACTAGGCCCAGTAAATATCATTTGATAGCATAAATCAAATATACATAGCCTTTAAAACTCTTTTCTGTACAAAAACTGTCTGTTCTCGTGTTTTTTTCAAATGGAGACTGTCTAATATGGTTTCATGACACATACCACAATGCAGGAAATACCACTAGACTTCCCAGCCACAATATTCCAGAGCAACTCTCATTAATTTCAGTCAGTTTTGTGGAAATGAACTGTTTGATGGATTGTGCCACAACACATATATTAGACCAAGTGTACCCGCATGGTAACTACATTGGACTACAACTCGATCATCTCTATAGCATAACATTAAGATCCTAATAACGATCTGATGCACGTGGAAAATGACAGTGGTTACTGAAACTTTGAAAATATCAAAAGCTTGAAGGCCTGCATTCTCATTAAACGTGTTTGTCTGTTTCAGAGATTTGAAGATAGAAAATCTCTTGCTTGATGACGACAACAATATCAAGCTTATTGGTATGAAACTCTTATTGCAATTTTGTTGACTGGTATTTTTGTTATAAAATGTGTCCCAAAACATTCTGTGTGGCAGTATATAGCAGTGCTTTTTAGAGGAATGTGGCAAAAGAAGTTGCAATCCTGTGGTCTTCTAAGCATATATAATTTTTTTCAATGAGCACTAGTAAGTAGCACACAGCCCCAAATGTGTTACTTGCAAGTAAGACACTTTAAATTGATTTGATTTCATTTAATTTCACACCTGTATGCTCCTTTTAAAAAAAACAACCCCGAGTTCAGTAACAAAGCATTAACAAATGAAAACAATACCTAAAAGCAATATTCAACAAAAATACAATAATACACACACACACACACACACACACACACACGCTATTAGATTTATATGTCACCAGCTCAAGGTTGTATACTGGTTCTCCTCCCCATTTCATCCTTACAACAACCTTGTGAGGTAGGTTAGGCTAAGAGGTATTGGCTGGTTCAAGGTCACCCAGTGAACTTCATGGCTGATTGGGAATTTGAATCTCAGTTCCCAGATCATAGTCCAACACTCCAACCATTATTCCATATGGGCAAAATTACAAAGTACAAATCAATCACAATGGATATATGTTAGGAATGTCATTTTACCCTATGACAAGAAACAGAAAAAACATCCATCAAACCACCTCTATCTGTCACCTAGGGTGTACATACTCCCCTCCTATCTCTCACTCGGGAGACAGATTCCACCAGCAAGTTTTTACCAGTTGGTGGCTTCAGTAAGCTATACTTCCTCATAAAACTGTGGTAATAAAAGCCATTTTCACAAGGGGTATCAACATTGTTTTTACAAAACAATGGAGAGGTTAAAGCAATATGGGAAAATGCCATTTTAAATATAATTAACAGTCCCTGAAAATTAATCAACTGAAATGGTTGATGCTTGTTTTCATGTACTTGCATGCACATGTAGTCCTAATAATGTGTATTCTCGGCCCCTAATCACTACTTTTGCCACAGACAAATGCAGCATCTGGTCTCTGTTCCTGTTTTTAAGAACAGGAATCTAAAATTTGAGCATGCATAATGCATATCGATCTGCAAATAGGAGTTGGAGTGTGAACATCCTTCTACCACCATACCATTGCTTTTTAATGTGTGGATTTGAAAGCTTTCAGTTCCAAGAAAGTTTTGCCTTTCTGTTTTATTTGCAAATGGATTTTTTTCTGGAAGTCAACTTAACACATAGATGAGTACTAAACCTGTGCTATATTGTGTTACATTTCTGGAAGTGGCTTTTATGTCATGTGAATGCTCAGATATAATGCAGCAATTAATAATTAGGTAACATTGTGGAAATGAAATACACTGTTGTGTGAACACAGCCTTAGTCTCGCAGCATCAGGCAAAACCCCACCCACTCCATATGATTGGCTTACTCATCTGCAGAAATAGAATGTGAAACTGGTTGAGAAGCCTTTTATATTATATCTAATTTGTCAATGGCCCATTGATTCTTCAACTGCCTATCAACTTCATTCAGAGCACTGTTCATCCACATTTTGCAGACACCATAGATTACTCATCTTATTCTACTATCTGTTTATAGCTCCCATTAATGCTAGTTGTGGCATTGATAGGAAAATATTCCCCTTAGCAGAACATCTGTTTATGTATTTAATTCTATGCCTACACATTTTCTAGCAGCAATGAGTCTGGGTGCACAGTAGAAGCCAGATGATGATGATTTCATCAGAGAGGCTTCATCACCTCTGAGGTGATGAAAATTGTTGCCTAAAATGGGACCAGAAGTAAAAGGCGAACAAGATATTGTGAACTAC